GTCTTTATTTTTAGTTTCACATACCTTAAACACTTAAAGCTGTAAGCTAATGATAGTTGTATAAGAGCAGATGCATGCTGCTGCAATAATCTGTACGTTTTACGTCCAATGGATGCATGATCTGATTAGTCGACTAATCGCAAAAATAATCGGTGACTAGTCGACTATCAAAATAATCGTTTGTGGCAGCCCTACTATACAGTCCAGAGCTTTTAAGTCAATGTCACCTTCAGGCTCACTGCTGGTGCTGTAGCAGTGTGCATTATTAAGAGCCAACTGTAAAAGCTCAGAATACTCTGGGGAGAGGGGTTTAGAGCCCTGGAACTGATCCTGAAACAATTTCACCGAGAGTAGGTTTCCCACGCTAACCAACCCCGAAGAACATCTTTCTCTGCAACGTCTCCTGATTGCTTTTGGGAGTGGTAACACTGAATAATTTTATGTTTGGGAGGAAGAAGAAAGAGAAGGGAATGAATTGGATTTAAAAAAAGAAATTTATACAAACCAACCAATCGTAAAGCTTCTGCTGGGCGCTGAGTTCGAAAGGGCTATGTTTTGAATATATGTTGCCCTACATGAGATTTTATTCCTGCCTATAATTTTCTGCATATATGTGGATGTAAAAAATGATCCCCTTTAATCACAGCATCGCAGTAACAAAATTCAAACGCGGCACATTTGTAGAAGAATGAAAGCCATAAAGGTTAACATAGATGTTTTGTCTGCACACGTCAGTCTCAAGTCAGGAAGCGTATGACCTTTGCGGTCTTTAATCTTGGGATTGGACCAACTTCAAGCTCTTTTTGTGTGTGTTAGTCCAAAAGTCCAAAACAGTTAATGTTTACAGTCAAATCAATTAGTTTCAAACATTGTCAGGGATTGGCTTGCAGCTTCGTATCTTTGTGTCTCCTCGGTTCTCATGAGGGAAGAACCAGTCTGAAATGTGGAGAGCACATCACACTCAAAAAGCAAGATTTCTATCAGTAACAGTAAAAGTCTCATCTATTCAGTTCAGTTTTAAATTAAAGCTATCAGTAGTTTGGAGATATTTTGCGATTGCTGTAACAGTAAGTTCTGGCATGTAGTTTTCCATATTTAATTTGCTAAAATGCCACATGGTGCCCAAGTGAGCTGATGCAATTAAAAGACTAAGCTGAACTTCTCTGGCATCTTCTTTTACACGACAATATCTTTGGTAACACTTCATTGGATCATGTGTTTAAACACCACTCTGCATTTAGTCACTAGTAATTCTTGTCTTTTCCTGTCTTCCTCCCCTAACCGCCAGCCCATTGTGATGGCTGTCCCTCCCTGAGTCTGGTCATGCCGGAGGTTTCTTCCTGTCAAAAGGGAGTTTTTTTCTTCCCACTGTCACCAAGTGGGTTTTACCTCTCTTATTGGTGGGTCTTTACCTTAAAATACAAACTACCTTGAGGCAAATACTGGGACTATTGATACTGGTGCTATATAAATAAAATTGAATTGAATATTTTCTGCTCTTGTTTAACATAATAAGTTGTTGTCATCTCGTCTGATCTTTACCCGTTTAACTTCTGCTCAAAAACTAAGGTGGATCTGCAGTGATAATAAAACTGAGGGCAGGAAAAAAGAGATTCGCACAAATAAGAGTCATGCACATTAAAGACTTTCACAGTCAGCTGAAACGAAGAAAGTGCAAATTTTTCACGTTATTTATTGTGGTTCTGTTCTCTATTGTTTTTATTTTAAATGTAAATTGTGTACATTTATATATTTTGTGTATTAACTTTTTTTTATTATTATGAGCCTCTATTCATAATTTTTACACAAGACTCTACTGTAGTCTTTTGTAAAAGCATTAATGTGACAACAATAATTTATTATTGTAAGACTTTTTCTGAGTTAAAAGATTGCCTTTGTTATTTTTATGGAAACATTAGCATAGTGTACTAATGCGCCATAATGCCAGCACGTTAAACTGCTATCAGAGCACCGAAAAAGCCTCTTTGAAATAAATAGTATCACAAAAATCATTTTTAGAATCTCAACCAACAGATCTGAACTTTACTTGTAAAGAGTAGAAAATGGTTGTCAATGTTTTGCATCTTTGGAAGGTTGAAGTTAAGCTGCTCGTGGAAAACTCTGATAAATGATGCTGCCCTGCTGAAAGGGCTTCCAGATCAGAACTGCCGATGACACAATTTAATGATGTCTCTGCATGCTTTAAAAAAAAAAAAATCACATATTCAGCTAAAATGTACATCATATTTCTAAATGATTCAGCAGGAACTTTAATCTATTAAGCTGTGATAGTATCTCCCACAACTTACAAAAGTTCTGCAGTAAAGAAAAAAAATATTTTTGCACAAAAACCAAAAAGTTACACTCAAATAAATTTCTGCCTCAAATGCTGACTTGACTGATTTTGTTACATAAAAAAAATCCACAAATTTGTTACATAAGTGCAAAGTCATTACATTTAGTGGAATATGGTCAAGTGAAATTTACTTGCATTTATTTTCCTTCATGATTAAAAATAAACCCTTGATTATATATATTTCAGTTGTTTTTTACTCTGAATTATTGCTTCATGTTAGTGGATGGTGAAGAATCATTTGAAATCAGTTGAAAGCTTAGGTAATGATGTCACAAGTCATTCATATTCACAATCCAAGATGGCAGCATGCTCTTTGTTTGTTACGTGTCCATCTAATTAGTTGTTTTTAAAAGATTTTTTCTATCTCTTAACGTATTTCTTAACTAAATTTTTATTAACGTATTTTTTAACCAGACAGTTAATATTGCATGGATTGTTTGGAAAAACGTGTGGTTGGTAGATGCTTTGGAAGCTGATGGATGCATCTTCCTGGAGCTAACAAGCCTAGCCTGGCCCTGCACCGTCCTCCTGGAGTTATTTGGCCTAGACCCGGCCCTATTCCATCTTCCAGGAGCTAACTGGTTAGGGTCTGACCCTGCACCGTCCTCCAGGAGTCAATTGGGCTAGGCTTAGGCCTGGCCCTGTGCCATCCTTGTGGAGCTAACAGGCTAAGGACCAGCCTGTACCATCTCCCATGAGCTAACTGGCTTAGGCCTGGCCCTGTGCCTTCCTTGTGGAGCTAACAGGCTAAGGACCAGCCTGTACCATCTCCCATGAGCTAACTGGCTTAGGCCTGGCCCTGTGCCTTCCTTGTGGAGCTAACTGGCTTAGGTCCGGCCTTGTACCATCTCCCATGAGCTAACTGGCTTAGGCCTGGCCCTGTGCCTTCCTTGTGGAGCTAACTGGCTTGGGTCCGGCCTTGTACCATCTCCCATGAGCTAACTGGCTTAGGCCTGGCCCTGCACCGTCCTTCAGGAGCTAATTGGCTTAGGCCCGATCCAGCATCTTCCCACAGGAGCAAATTGGCTAAAATCTGCCCCTGCATTGTCTTCCAGGAGTAAACCGGCTTAGGCCTGGCCCAGCGCTATCCTTTTGGAGTTAACTGGCTTGGTCTGGTCCGGTGCCATTTTCCTGGAGCTAACTGGTTTGCTTCATCCAGAGGTCTGTACTGTTCACTTCTGTTAAGTACTAAAATTGTGGATGATGGCAGTATGTACTATTCTAATTTGCCTCTTGGCCTTTTTGGACCCTCAGATAAGCAATTGCTTATCGACACATAGCAGGGGAACCTCTGAAAATGATTTTTATCAACAAGAGAATTTTGAAAAAGGAACACGCTCTATAATGTTGCAAAAATCAGAGCAGTTATCAACTCAGCTGGATTATGACATTAGTTTCATGCATGTTTTGCCCAGAGACTTACCTAAACTTCAATCTATTCTGGCCTTACATACTTATTTCATCTGCCCATTTAATGGAGGTTTCAGCTCGGGTTCAACATATCAAAGCATTGAACCCAAATCAAAGGCGAAACAGAGGTTGTTGATTGTCTTGCTTCTACTTTTGTCAGGAAATGTGCAACCAAATCCTGGCCCTGAACTACAACATTCCCAGACTCCTGCTGACTTTAAAATAATGTCTGGTATCAAATATATTCATCTTAATGTACGCAGCCTACTACCGAAGATGGACATGGTCAAAATTTGGGTTAAATCTACAGATGCAGATGTTGTTATAATTTCTGAAACTTGGTTAACTAAATCTATTACTAATGAAGACATTAACATATATGGGTACAATGTATATCGCACTGATAGGCCAAAAAAAGGAGGTGGTGTAGCTATTTATGTCAAATCAAGATTTAATGCATCGATTGTTCTGTCCCAATCGATATGCAAACAAATGGAGTTTTTGGCCTTAAATGTAGATATTGCTAATACTTTTTCGATAACCATTGCTGGGTGTTACAGGCCCCCATCTGCTTCAAAAGAGGCATTATCTTCATTAAAGCACCTTTTGGCTAAACTAAATTATACCGAACTACTAATGGCTGGAGACTTGAATTGGGACTGGCTAAATGCAACTTCTGGTGAATTTAAAGAATTCTGCGATTCAATTAATCTTA